GGTGAGCTCAGTTGGAGAGCGGTGTCACCGTCTCGGTTACGCTAACCGGAGGCACGGGACGCTGGTCCACCTCGACATCTTGCTCCAATGAAGCCTCCGTCAGGCTTGGCTCCAGGGGGCACTGAGGGACTTTCCGCTCATCTCCCCTGCTCTGGAGATGGGTGCGGACTGTGGAGACAGCCCCCCCCCCCCCAATCTACCAGTAAAAAAACGTCTGTGGCCTCGCCCGTAGGACATCCTGTTGGGAAAACGAGGCCAGATGGATCAAGACGGTGAGCCGGAATGGAACCTAGTAGAAACAACCTTCCCGCCGGATCATCCGAACTGGAGGGAAAGGCATGGGACGTCAAAAAGGTCCCTTCATATCAGCCGCCTCCTGGGTTACGCCGGGCAACCCCTGAGGGTGCCGACAGCCGTGAGCGGTGTGAGCGCCGATGCGAAACGAGGTGGGATGGGGTGAGCATTCACTCAGTCCCCCTCCACCGACACGACGCTCTCCAGGAGGGAATGAGTAGCGGGGGGCTGCAGCTGAGCGCCGCCTGTCCTGGAGGAACCATCCGATTCGCTCCTAGGGTCGGCGATAAGAGGAAAATTACAAGATGGCGTTGTCCAGCGTGTAGCGACCTGTCACTGAGAAATATCCCTCGGCTCTTACCTTGAAACAAGACTGCTCGTCAGCTTCTCCTCGGGGAGGAGAGCTCACCGGACGACCAGAGGTCGACGTGCCGGGCCAAGCATTCTTAACAAAGGTTGGTCATCTACACAACTTTCCTTCTTCGTTCTTCTGACAGTGCTATTAGCTTGCTGAAGAAAAAATGGGAGCCGATTTCCCGCTCTTATCGTAATTTATACGGACCGGGTAGGGCCCACACAGCAGGTGGGCGTGGACTAAATTTTTCAGTGCGATGCTTTGCATATCGGGATAAACCCACTAAGCGACAGCCTTAAAGGGCGAAGCCTATACGAAATAGAACAACCGTTCCAGTGGCGTCTTCTGGGTTTTCACAACAACCAGAAGTAGAGTCTCCTGGTGCTGGGTCACTTCCTGTTATGCCAGCCTTTTCTTTTGCTGATGTGGAGGAAATCACAGCGGTGAATTCTTGAACCAATAAGCTTGAGAAAGGATATGAGTTCTTCCATGAAGAATATATCAACAGCTATCAAGGTAAGAAAAGACGTAGCTTAGCGAGCTAACCGTTAGCTACAACATATGAAGATGGGATGCACCAATCCACTTTTGTTAACTTCCGATCCGATCCCAATACCTAAATCTAAATATCAGCCGACACCGATCCAGTTCTGATATCATGATCATCATTGATTTTATATGAGGCTGTAATAATCTCCTCTCAAGTACAATTTGTACAAATATACGCATGCATGTCCAAAAAGGCAACTTGAGGTAAGTTGTATTAATGTTGGATAAGTTTTAAAGTTAGAATTAAATTCTGCTAACACAAAACATGTTTCTTTTTATTCCTAGCTTTAAAGTGGATATTAAAGTGATTGATTTAAGTGATTGTTTAAAGTTGTTTTATATTTTTTTAAGTAAGAGGTAGATATAAGAATATTTTTCTTCTTTCTGCACTGGGCTTAGTCCTAGTGTGGATAGTTTGTCCATCAGGGTTTGGGGGATCATGGTGTTGAAGGCGGATGTGAAGTCCACAAAGAGCATACGGACATAAGAGTTTTTCTGCTCCAGGTGGTTGATAAAGGCTAGCATTAGCATGCTATCTCCAGAAACAACCTCACCAGTTCCCACTTTTAGAATACACAGTCAGCTGGACGTTTTTTCACAAACAGAGACATCTAAAAGTTGACAGGCATATCAGTCAGAAATGGCAAATAGCACTCTAGCACCCCCTATAGACTGCCACTGAAACATTCACTCTCTCGCTCATATTTAGGGACAATTAGAGTTACCAATCAGCCTAACATACCTGTACATGTTTTTGGGCTGTGAGAGGAAACCAGAGTACCCGGAGAAAACCCACACAGTACGGAGAGAATATGCAAAATGTATCCTGGTCCCCCGGACCAGGATTTGAACTGGGGTAACCTGCTATCTGAGGGGCAGAAGC